AGAGAGAGAGAGAGAGAGAGAGAGAAAGAGATAGAGAGATGGAGAAAGAGAGAGAGGGGGAGAAAGAAAAGAAACATAGAAAGAGAAAGAGAGATAAAGACAGAGAAAGAGAGAAAGTAAGAGAAAGATAGAGAGAAAGAGAAAAGAGATATAGAGGGAGTGCGATACAAGAAGAGAAAGGAGGGAGAAAGCGAAAGAAAGAGGAAGAGAGAGGGAGGGGGTGGAGAGGAAGACCGACAACAAGATTAAGAGACAAAACATGAATTGGGGGGGGATTTCAGATATCGACATTTTATATCTAAGAGCACTGTAAGAACTAACGTATTTGCTCTCCTTTCTGCTTTGTCTTTTGTTTTGTTTCTTTTGTTTTGTTTTGCCGATATGAACTTTTTTGTTCTAAATACCATCTCCTGTCACATTTGTCCATAGGTCAACGCCTCCTACTGTACCAAGTAGAACAACAATCAAGACAACAACTTCCTCGCTCCCTGTCCCAGTATTGTTCCTCAAGGGTTGCCGACAGATTGGTCACGTGATACTAGTATGGCCAATCGCCTTTTGTTCAGGCTTCTCATCGGAAGTTCCGCCATCTTGGCCGTCGCCGGCAGGGAGGACACTCGTCTGGGAAGCGGGGAAGGAGGGCGTACTCAAGAGGAGAATAATAAATTGACTCTGTTCTTTTTCCTCTCCTTTTTCTTTTTTTTTTGTTTGTTTCATTTTGTGGAGTCGTAATATTGATTTTGTTTGTTTTATTCAACCTCTTGAAAGAAAGAAAACTATAATAATATAATAAAAAAAGTTCACCCCAAGGCTGTTGGAGGATGTTTTAAAAACTGAACAATAACACAACACAGAGGACAAAATATTCTACAAGCATATAGTGATCTCAGGAACACCAATTTGATACAGGTGTACTAAAAAAAACTGCGGCACAAGATGATTGTTGGTTTTCAATTATACATTTTTTAGCTAAGGAGAGCACATCGACACAATCGGTAACGATCAGTGAGTGCTGAAAAGAAAGTAGCGACGCATTTCATAGAACGCCATCCCCTGAGCCATAGATTACACCTCTAGGTATAGATCTACAGATAACGATAGAAAGAAACGAGTGATGCTAATGAAGTAGGACGTGCTACTGGCACCCTCTAACCAACCAGGATTTACGATTCTTTTACGACTGCTACAAGTCATATACGTTCTGTTGGGTGTTTTACACCCCTTTCAACTCTGTAATCCGATTTTAAAGGCGGGGAAGAAAGGTCTGGTAAGCAACATCCAACTACTGGAAGACACCATTTTGACCATTTCAGAGGCGGATTGCTTCTATTCTGTCTGTTGGGGCCAACCGGGACTGAGAGGGATACATGATACAAGTATACAGATCGCTACCTCAGAATTAAAAAGTTCTATATTATTATGACATTTTGGCTGTTTTGAGATCGGCAAATGAAATGCACTGTCTGTCTGCTCTATCAAAATCGTTAAATTATTCTGAGTCGTTGTTAAGATATGAATAGAATTGCTGTCGAAAAAGCTTAACATGTTTTAAAAATCCAATTTTTGGACAGCAAATTTCTCAAAACTATGCACTGAGCAGATAGGACTTTGTAATTCCGAGGTATTGAGATGGTGTGACTCGATAATATGCGTGACGTCAAACAGCATAACAACCATTACAACACAGACGCTGGTAGAGTCTAATACTTGGTGCCCACTAAGGATGGATCTGCTGATCGGGCCGATCGCCCGACTCGGTCGCCTCAAAAACAAACGTGTGAGTGTGAGTGGGGGAGGGGGTGAGGGTGGCGAAAGTAGGGGTATAAAATGAGGAGAGAGAGAGAGAGAGAGA